ATGCATATATGTGTAGAGGTAATAGAAAATGCATATTTTAGGTTTGTAGTATTTTGATGAAAAAATGATTGATTTAGCGCTGAGAGATTTGAATTAAGCTATACACATTAATCCTAAATATAGTTTGGTTTATAATAATAGAGGTGAATATTATTACACTTAATTTATTAGGCTTTTTATATCAAGATATTGGTGACCAAGATAAAGCTTTAGATGACTATAATCAAGCAATCCAACTTGATCCTAAATTAGCAATTGCCTATAATAACAGAGGTGAATACTATTACACTTAAAATAATAGGTAATTTATATAAAGATATTGGTGACCAAGATAAAGCTTTAGATGACTATAATCAAGCAATCCAACTTGATCCAAACTATGCAAACGCCTATAATAACAGAGGTGAATACTATTAAACTTAATTTTTAAGGCTATATATATCAAGATATTGGTGACAAAGATAAAGCATTAAGTGATTATAATCAAGCAATCCAACTTGATCCAAACTATGCAAACGCCTATAATAACAGAGGTGAATACTATTAGACTTAATTTATAAGGCAATTTATATAAAGATTTTGGTGACAAAGATAAAGCATTAAGTGACTATAATCAATCAATCCAAATTGTTCCTAATGATGCAACAACCTATTTACAAAGAGGTGAATACTATTACACTTAATTTATAAGGCTATTTATATCAAGATATTGGTGACAAAGATAAAGCATTAAGTGATTATAATCAAGCACTCCAACTTGATCCAAATAATGCTATAATCTATTATAATAGAGGTGATTGCTATTCCTCTTATTGTGCTAGGTCTCTTACATGAAAATATTGGTGATAAATCCAAAGCATTAAATGACCTCAATCAAGCAATCTAACTCAATTCAAATTATGCATAAGCTTATTCTAATAGAGGTAATTACTATTAATGTTAATATATTAGGCAAATTATATGAAAACATTGGTGATAAATCCAAAGCATTAAATGACCTCAATCAAGCAATCTAACTCAATTCAAATTATGCATAAGCTTATTCTAATAGAGGTAATTACTATTAATGTTAATTTATTAGGCAAATTATATGAAAACATTGGTGATAAATCCAAAGCATTAAATGACTATAATCAAGCAATCCGATTAGATCCAAATAATGAACTAGCCTATATTAATAGAGGTGAATACTAATAATTTTAAATTATAGGCTTTTTATATCAAGTTATAGGTTAAATTGAGAGAGCCTTATTTGATTATTATTAAGCTATCCAACTTAATCCAAAATATTCTCAAGCATATTTAAACAGAGGTAATTATTGATAAAATTGTTATATTAGGCAATATTTATAAAGGTATTTTAGAGATTGAGAGGGCCATATATGACTATAATCAAGCAATCCAACTTGATCCCAAGAATCCAAAGCCATATACAAATAGAGGTAAATATTTATCAACATAATATATTAGGAATATTATATTCTAGTTTTGGTGAAAAAGAATAAGCATTAAATGATTTTAATAAAGCAATTAAACTTAATCCAACAGATGCAAAAGCCTTTTTAAATAGAGGTAATTAATATTAGATAGATATTTAGGAAATTTATATAGCACTATTGGTTAAAATGAGAGAGCATTAAATGATTACAATAAAGCAATCTTACTTGATCCAAAATGTACAAAAGCTTACTTCATCAGAGGTACTTTAACTTAATATATGTTAGGTAATTTATCAAAGAATATTGTGAAGAAAGAAAAACCATTTAATGACCTTAATCAAGAAATTCAACTGGATTAAAAAGATGCTAATGCTTTCACTAATAGAGGTAAATAATATAACAATTAATATCTTAGGATATTTATATCAAGTTATTGGTGAGAATGAAAAAGCATTATCTGATTATAATAAAGCAATTCAACTTGACCCAAAATATGCAAAAGCCTATTGCAATAGAGGTGAATATTGTTACACATAAATATTAGGCTATTTATATCAAGTTATTGGTCAAAATGAGAAAGCCCTTTATAATTATAATGAAGCAATCCAAATTGATCCAAAAGATCCAACAGTATATATGTATAGAGGTGAATATTATTACACATTTTATATTAGGCGTATTATATAGTAAAATTGGTTAGAAGGAAAAATTTCTATCCGATTATTTACAAGCATTAGCTCTCTCACCAAATCATCCGTTACTATTATACAATATAGGTAATTTTTATTACCTTGTAACTGAAAATGATCAATAAGCTCTAGAATATTTGCAAAAAGCAAGAAACTCCTTACAAAGTTTAAGTTTATCTGAAATTAAGAAGCTACTTTTAAGTGAAAAAAATATTAATTACTTAAAAACTTAAATTGATATCCTAAAAGGATTCTTAAAATAAATATTGGAATCTAAACGAATAGTTTAGAATCTACCTACTGTAAACTCAACTTAAATTTAAATAGTGCAAAATTATGAAAAAAAAATTTAAGAAATTAAAAATTAAATCAGCCTTATTCTGTCAATCCCTATCACTCAAACAATAAAGCCTTAAATTTAAAATGTTTAAAACAAATAACTGAATTAAATATTACAAAATGTTAAAAAATGTAAATAAGAGTTATTACAATTAAAAAAAGATTATGCTAAGGTAATAAAAGAAAAAGATGAATAAGAAACATAATTGAACTCTATAAAAGAAGATCTAAATGTGTTGATTCATAAAGATAGAAATTAAATATAAGTATTATTACATGAATTTAATAAACCGCAAAATGTTCATAAAAAAACTTACTACCAATCTTTATTTTGGAGGCTTTATAATTTTTTAAAAGTTATGTAAAAAATCTCTACAGATTTACTTTAAATAAACCAAAATGCAGTTATTGAATATAACTCAGAAAAAGTATTAAATAT